CGGCGCGGCTCGGCAGCGCACTGCGCACGCGCCGCTCATTTCAAACCTCACTCGGCGGCGCCGCTGGGGTTACTGCGCCCGCGCGCACTGAGCGGACGCTGAGGTAGGCGGAGCTACGGGAGGGAGGGGGCGAGACAGCGGCGCCTCCAGACAACACCTAGTGGGGTAGAGCGCGAGCCCTGGCCGCTCACCCGGCCTGCGCAGGCGCGACGGGCATGCGCACTCATGACTAGCAGGCCTGGCCGCCCCCGCCGCGCGTGCGCATTGGTCGAGCCGCCAGTGGGCGTGTCCTTCGTGGTGCAGCGCGTGGGCGCCAGTGTTCCCTGCAGCTGCTGATCAGTGTGGACTGAGAAGTTTTGGAAGCCGAACCTGGACGTCCCAGGTCCGAGCTGGGCCCTGCGGCTCCCCAGCCAGGCTGGTGAGGGGCACAATTGACATGCCCTTTCTCGGATGCATGCAGGGTATTGCATGGAGGCTCTGGGCAGGTGGCGCGCGGGTGAACTTGTTCCCTGCTAACAAGATTCGACCCACCGGCTGCACCGCGGGGAGAAAGCCGTGGCCGTTGGCTTTCTTAAAGATTACAGACCTGGAAACTGTGTGGGGCAATTCTGTTTCGTCCTGTCTTGTCAGATGTCCAAAGGAACTACAAGATCAGTTGTTAGGTGTGATCCATTAGTCCAGCCTGACTCCCAGAGAGCAGATCCGAACCCTGTCCTTTGCTGTGCCATCCTCATCATCTCTAACATTGCTGCAGCTGGGGGATCAGTACGTCTCGATGAGGATCTTCCTCTTTCACTGACCCACCACCTTTCCAAGCATGATGTTCCTTCCCAAGAATAAACTCATAATAGTATGCCAAATGTATGTGAGATAAAGCTTCACCATTCTTGCCTCTAAGGAGCAATCTGACTGCACTTTGTCCAACACATATCTGTTTGTTCTTTTGACAGTCCATGAGCTATTCAGTATTCTTCTCCCAACAACACAACTCAAAATGTATCAATTCTTTTTCTGTCGTCTTTAGCCATTGTCCAGTTCTCAGATGCTTAGGAAGTAATCGAAAAAGACTATGGTCTGAATCAAGTGCACCTTAGTCTTTAAACTGACATCACTGCTCCTCAGGAAGTCTCTGGCATCAGACTTTGCCCATGCAGTATAGTTTTTGATGTTTTGACTGCTGGTACCAAGGGTGTTTATTGTGGATCCAAGTAAGATGAAATTGACAAAGTCGGTCGTTTTTTCTGCCCATTATGAGATTGCCTATAGTGGTGAGGTTTTTGTTTTCTTGATGTTGATAGTAGTTTGGTGGTCTAATAATAGAATGGTTATTTAGGTGCAATCGTTTTGAAGTACCTGTGTGTTGTAAAAATTGTGGCCAGAGGTTAGACTTAGGTATTTGGTTAAGTACAGAAAACCACAAATGAACAAATCAGTTGTTTTTCTGGAATTCTGTGCTTCCCTGAATATCCCAAAATCCCCTGACTTTGAAGTACTTTATCCATAACCAATACACCGTGTTTCCAATAGGAAACATCAAAATCTAACTGCATGTAGCTCCCACACCCCGTCCAGGCACCCCTCCTTCTATCCTTCTAAGAGAATTGAGTGGACTCAGTATTCTTGGGTGTTAGTTGACTTCCTTTGTCGGTGTTATCTGTGCTCATGGTGTTTTCCAGTGGATGTGTTTTTAGGCTTCTCTGACCTTGCAGCTTCCAATTAAAATATGGTACCTTTAACCTTGAGTTCATCTGTAAGTATGGAGCTATTGCACCAGCAATCTGGATTTTTTAACCTCACTTTTTGACATCAGAACTGTCCCAATGCTAATTGCTTTTGAGCTTGCAGTGAATCACTTTGCTGTCATTTTAATGTTCACTTAATTGTCTAATTAGCAGCTTTACAGTCAGCACTCACCTTGGAGTGCCTTCTTTGCAACCTCTTTTAAACTGCTTCCTGTGTGCTCCCCACATTCTCCTTGCCCCTTCATCACTTTCTCCCTACAGCAGCTGGAGTGCACCCTCTTTCAGGGCGAAAAAACAAAACACCAAAACCCAAATATCTCACTTCTTCTGATTTTTCCAACTACCCAAAAATTATTTCATTGATTTGGAAAGCACAATCTTAATACTCCTGTCTTCTGATTTGGCTTTGTTTTCTAAATACTCCGTATTGGCTGTGCACATCATTTGGAATTTTTTTAAAAATGAGCCTTCTAGTAATGTGAGGGAAGGCAACACACTTTTATGTGAAACGATGAAAGTTATACAATTGTTCAAGTCTTTCATTCATAGGGTCACTATGAGTCATCTATGACTTGACAGCACACAACAACAACAACAACATAGATCTCAGTTGGTCTAGTGGACGGAAGGTGATGCTACCAAGCCAAAGATGGGTGATTTTTGTCTGCGGCCCTCCGGCCTGGTTTTAATTGGTTTTGGTGAAAACGTCTTCTAAGTGGTATAGCAGTGATCTGTCCATTTGTTGTATAGAGGTAACTCGTGGTTGCTGTGATGCTGAACATTGTGACACTGGTGTGTCAAATGCAATAATGATTACCCATGGTGGACAGTGTTACGTGGCACTCCCCGATTAAAACAAGCTTGGAAGCAGGAGTGGCATCCACTTCCGAAACAGCTTGTCTCCAGAAACTTTATTAATGAAAGTTATACAAGTGTTCAGGTCTTTCATTCATAAGGTCGCTAGGAGTTGTCTACAACTCTACGGCACTTAACAACAATTTATTTTGGGTTAAAACTTAGAAGTCTAGGCTGAGATAGCAAATGCTTTGTTTCTCTGTTTGTTGAGTGTATAGTTTTAGCATCCTAAGTGGCACAAGCTTTTAAATATCAGATAATGGTACCCCTCATCTGGAAACTGAGCTGAGTTTGGCACTGGCCTGGAAGGTCCCATACCTGTTCTCCTCTTCATTATAGCTCTGCCCTAGCCAGCACAGAACATAGTGGACTCTGGTCTCCACACAGGCTGTTCTGCCCAGGATGCCTATCCCAAGCAGCCACATCCTCCCACCCTCTCCATCACCAGGGCCCTCTGAGAACGGCCAAGTCATCTATCTGGAACTATAAAGGGAACCTCAGCACTCCCCTTCCCTACTGTGATTTCCTCTGGGCATCCTCCTCCATCACTCTTAGAGACTTTACTATTGATCTTATTAGGAGCCCTGGGTGGTACAATATTTAAGCACTCAACTGCCAGCTGAGAGGCCAGTGATGGATTAGAACAGCTGATCTTTTAGTTGGCAGCTCTTCTGCCTTTAAGTATCACTGAATAGATACAGTTTAACCTTTTGTAATTAGAGCTCAGTTTTTTTACTTTTGTATCCAATCAAAAATCAGATAGTTTTTCCACTTTGAACTTTATAATGTAAATTCTGTAAAATATATACCTTTTATCTTGTTATTAGATGCCCTCCAGTACTGCTCATAGCAACCCTATGAACAACAGATATCAACCCTCTCCTATCCTGTGCCGTCCCCACAATCACCCTTGACCCCTTTGCAGCCACTGTGCCAGTCCGCCTCACTGAGAGTATTGCTCTCCTTCACTGACTCCACCTTTCCAAGCATGATTTCCCTCTCCAAGAAATAGCCTCTATCAAAATGATATGAAATAAAGCTTTACTGTCCTTGCCTCCAAAGAGCACTCTGATTGCACTTTTTCCAAGACATGCCTGTTAGTTTTTTGGCAGCCCATGGAATGTTCAGTGCTCTTCTCCAACACAACATTTCAAATGCATTGATTTCTTCTCTTGTCATCCTTATTCATTGTTCAGCTCTCAGATGCATAGCAGGTCATTGGAAAGGCTATGACTTGAATCAGCTGCACCTTAGTCTTTAAACTGTCATTGCTCTTCAGGACTTTGGAAAGATCTCTGGCAGCAGACATTGCCAGTGTCATATGTCTCCTGATCTCCTGACTACTTGTACTAAGAATGTTGATAGCGGATTCAAGCAACATGAAATTCTTCACAATTTCAAACTTTATTATGATGTGGCCTGTTGACAAGTGGTGAGGGTTTTTTGTTTTCTTGGTGTTGAGATGTAATACATATTGAAGGCTACAGTCTTTGATTCTCTGTAGCAAGTGTATCAAGTCCTCTTTGATTTCAGCAAGCAAGGTTGAATTATCTGCATAATGCCAAGTTATTGATGAGCCTCCAATCCTGATGTCACACACTTCATAAAGGCTAGCTTCTCTAATGATTGTCTCATGCAAATTTAAGAAATAATGGAGAAAGGATATAGCCCTGATGCATACTTTTTCTGATTTTAAATCATGCAGTATTTCCTTGATCTGTTTGGACAACAGCTTCTTGGTCTGATTTAAGTTTCAAATGAGCACAGTTAAGTGTTCTGGGATTCCCATTCTTAAGGTTAGCCATAGTTTGTTATGA